AGAGCCGCCTGCACCGCTCGGCTCGGCGCCGCTCCACTCCGCTCCGTTCCGCTTCTGCTCCGCGTCGCGGATATCCGCACGAGCGCGACTTCCCTCTCGCTTAATCCCCCTGTGCGGGTTTCTCTCTCATTCGTCTGCGCGCTGTCATTCGCGAGTATCGGCATCGAGCGGAAAATCCGCGAGCTGTTTGTCACTTAAATTTCTGTAAATTCGATACCTTTTTCTTCGCCTCCTTCGCCTCTTTCCAGAGAACGCTCCGGGACAATATCGAATCTGCGACAATGTCAAAGGATCCTCGCGATTGTCGCAACGCGCGCGATTTCAACAGATTGCCTGGTTTCTTAACAATTCTACGTATGCAAATCGTCCCACTTCTTTCTCAATCACAGACTTCTCGATCGGTTTAATGTCGATGTTTTCCCTCGGGGAAAATTTCGAGAGAGGCCATCAGTCATCGAATGAGCCTGTTATCTGTCGTAATTCGAAAACTATCGCTAGCCGGATATTTTTCCGAACTATAATCGAAGAATCCATAAAAAATGAAATAGGCTTTCAAATACAACTAACTAACTTGACATAACGTTATGTCAAGTTATAAATTCGTAATGACAACGTGAAAGACCTACCCTTATATTTTTCTTATTACAGTTAAGTTTGTTTAATAATAAATTGAATGAATTTTTTCGTGTTCAGAACAAAGTTTTCGGCAAGTCACAATAATATCACGTGAATATCACGTTAATAAAATATTGATGAATTCTACAGATTATTACATAATCAATAGTATCATTTCATATTTGGTCGTATTATAGCACTGAATTAATGACCGTAACTAATGACTAACAACTATTAAATATTTTGAACGTATTATATTCCTTCTTTTTCATATTTAAAACAAAAAAGAGGAAATTTGATGAAAAGTGAGAAGGAATACATAAGATAATCCCACATATTCCTGTTTTCACGATGATGTCATGACGATTACCGCATCGTGCGAAAATTCGAAATGATATTACGAAAGACTCAGAAATCGTGATGATTTAAGAACGCCTCTGCAAGAAAGATAATCATAAGAAAAATAATTCAGTAGTAAAAAAAAAAAAATATTAAATATGATCTTTGCCGATGCATATGTGCATAGACTCAGAAATCGTGATGATTTAAGAACGCTTCTGCAAGAAAGATAATCGTAAGAAAAACAATTCAGTGTAAAAAAAAAATTATGCATCGGCAGAGATCATATTTAATATATTCTTATATATTTAATAAATACGGATACTTCAATTTACTTTATTGTTAATGACTTGCGTTATCTCATCTTTGTCTATTCATCATAAATGTATTTTATATTATTTATGTCTGACACACACACACACACACAC